CAATAAACTACATTACTTAACATGAGCTAACAATGAAGAATATTCTACAGCATTTATTAAAACGAATTAATTTATTAACATTAACATTAACATACTAACATTTATTTAATAACAATTTGATATTATTTTAGATTAAATTGATTTAAAATTTAAACCCTAATATAATATTAGTTAATGCACTGTGAACTAATCTTTAACTAACATGAACAGCTGTATTTTTTTATTAACTAACATTAACAAACTAATAAAGTTCGATTTTTTTCAAGCATCTTGAAAAAAGCTTCACGGAAAAAGCTGCAAACAGAAGTAAAACTGCTCATTGTCAGCTAATGCATGAACAAACCAGACTGTATTGTAAATATTTATGCATGCCTTATGGAGGATGTTGCATTTTTTACAAAAAAAAAAAAAAAAAAGTTACAGGTCAGTTACTTAATTGGAAGCAATACTGTTGTGTGACTCTGACATGCTGGAAGAATTAAAATGTAATATTTTCTAGTCAATCTTGTTGCCAGGAGCTGCTGTTATATACTGTAAATAGACCTTATTTAATTGTGTTTAATGTGCTTCAGTTTCACAACACAGAGTTCAGACTGGTTTAGAGTTTGTGTGTTGTGAGGATGTAGCCTCGGGCAGCAGATGAAAGCATCTGTCATTTCAGAGGGAAGCAGAATAAAGCCGATCTCATCCGGCCCGAGGCGAAGAAGCACAGAAGACGCCGGAGCTGAGCTTCAGTGAAGAGGACGAGCGATTTGTTTGCAGCGCAGATCTCTCGGCAGACCTGTCAGCAGATTAATACATCAAACTGTGTTCTTCTCCACACGCTCACCTGTGCTGGATCTCACACGCTTCCTTTCTCTGTCCGTCTCTTTGTCTGATTTTCTTGTCTAGCTGTAACACTGCTGATCCAGCGATCAGCTTTCATCCGCTTTTATTCGCTCTCTTCCGCCGCACATCTTCTCAGCTTTCACCCCTCAAGAAAACGTGTTGTTTTCTCACATGCAGCCGTTCATCAACACACAGATGAGTCTCGCACGTTCAAAGCGGTTACTGGATATATAGCAGATATGGATAGTATTTGTGAGTTTGAAAGTACTGCTGTGTAAATGTGAAGTCTGCATGTTGTGCGTGTCTCATGCAGTGAGTGCGTCTCACTATATGAGGACAAGGACTTCATCATCATCATCATCATCATCATCACTTCACCAGCATTTCACTGTTTAGTTAAAAAAAACTACACTCTTAAAAATAAAGGTGCTTTCATTCAGTCAAAGGTTCTTTAAAGAGCCATCTCTTTCTTACCTTTTTATAATCTGAAGAACCTTCTTTCGCCACAAAGAAGCTTTTGTGAAACAGAAAGGTTCTTCAGTGGTTAAAGGTTCTTTATGGAACCATTTAGACAAAAAGGTTCTTCTATGGCATCATGAAGCACCTTTGTTTTTAAGAGTGTATCGGCAGACACACACAGAAACTCAAATATCTTGACTACAACCGCCAAAATAAAAGGTTTGACTTGAAGAAATTATGACAGAAATACATAACTGTTACGGCAAAGTAAAATGTACTTCTCAAAGTAATAATTTCTTCCATGTTTTAATTTTAACAGTAAACTCAGCACATTGTTTGCCAAAAAATACAACTGTTAAATTTTCTAAAAAAAAATAATAAAATAAAGTAAATAAAAAATAAAGTTGTTAAAATTTTATGAATTCAAATGGTTAGACATGCTTTTTGATTACCGGAATCCAGAAAAAAGTATAATAAAAAACATTGTTCTCATCTCAATTAATATAAATAAATTGAGATGTATATATATATATATATTTTATTTAATTTTTTTTTTTTGTTGAAGAAAACAGTTCTTGAAGTTAATTTAGATTTTTTTTTTATATGATATATATATCTTCAAATATTATGTTAGACAGTGGAGGGCCTTCAAGTCAAAATGTTTGAATCACAATATATTAGTATTCTAGCTTGAAATGTTGCATTATGCATACTGTTTCATATCTTATTTTTCAGAATTAGTAGTGTGTACCCTGTATACAGTATTCTAGTATTCAGAACACAGTTGTATGTTCATCCATACTTTTCCCCTCAAACTCAAAGGCACAAATGCTGCAGCAAAACACTTATTTTCTTATTTTCACATTAATTCATTGCCAAAATCGGGTGCTGCATCAGTATGGAGGTGTTTTGTTTTGCGTTGGATTCTAGTCTCCTCTCACTCCTGTTGTCTTTATCTACTGCCGCACACTTCAGATCCTCACGAGCGCTCGGTCAGTCGCCGCCGCAGACGTTTGAGTATCTGTGTGTTTAAAGACATGCAAGTCCTACAGCAGATGGTAGCGTATACAGGTCAGCCAACCACAGGAGTCTTTGATGATCCAACAAATCAGAGCTCAGAGCTCAGGCTGAGGTTTAATTTGATGCTTTACAGAGACTAAAGAAAAAGTTTTTTTTGCAGTCGCCATCCGAAGGCAATGCTTTCATTTAAACACATGCAAACGTGGCAAAAGTTTTGCATTGGTGCATTTTGATAAAATCATCTTCAGCTCATGCAGATGAATTACTGAGAAATTTCCCTTGTGAGCTGATGTGGTTTCACAGGTGGGCTCGGCCTCAGACGGTTTCCTGCATAGACAGGAAGTCTTTGTTGAACTCTCTGAGGTGGCTGTCTTTGTGTGTGACTCAGCAGCTGCTGGGAAAATAATGCAGGAAAACTCTGCATGCGTATAAATAAAGCTGAACAGATGCTCAACAGTGCTTGTTTAATTGTAGGATTAATTAAGACATGAATGTGCTTTTGTCTGGAAAATAAAACATTAATAGTGTTAAAGTGTTAACAGTCTCTGTGTGTGTGTTGTCCTGCATGGTTTGTCCTCAAATCATATGTTTTGTTCTTGTCTGGTAATACCCTGGCAACCGCCCAGAACAACCTAGCAACACCATAGCAACGTACTTCAATCACTTTGCTGTGCACAACCACCCTAGCAAAATGTTTCAATCAATTTTCTGTGCAACCAACCTAGCAACACCCTAGCAATGTACTTCAATCGCTTTGCTGTGCACAACCACCTTAGCAACACCCTAGCAACGTGCTCCAATCCCTTTGCTGTGCACAACCGCCCTAGCGACATGCTTCAATCACTTTGCTGTGCACAACCACCCTAGCAACGTGCTTCAATCACTTTGCTGTGCACAACCATCCTAGCAACACCCTACCAACATGCTTCAATCAATTTGCTGTGCAACCACCCTAGCAACACCATAGCAACACCCTAGCAATGTAATTCAGTCACTTTACTGTGCACAACCACCCAAAACACCCTAGCAACACCTTAGTAATGTACTTCAATAGCTTCGCTGTGCACAACCACCTTAGCAACACCCTAGCAACGTGCTCCAATCACTTTGCTGTGCACAACCACCCTAGCAACACACTTTGCAGTGCAACCACCCTAGCAACACCCTAGCAACATGCTTCAATCACTTTGCAGTGCAACCACCCTAGCAATTCCAGCCATTTTTTTCTGGATCTAACGCTGGCTCCCTTAGCTTTGGATCTGTACAGCTCATTTAATTTATTCTGTAGTTTAGAGTATTCAGTGTTTTGAGTGTCTGTCAATGGTTCCTTAAATGATAAAGCAGACAGCTGTGAAATAACTTCATCTATTAATCTAATTTGTTTTGCTATATTACTTCAAAATTTTCTTAAGAATTTCCCTAATTCATATTTTAGGCACTTCGGAGAGCGAATCATTTGATTTAGATCGGAACTATTGTCTCTATTGTCTTCTGTAGAGCTGCTTTACAGCTGAAAACTGAATTAGTTTCATAATTGATGAACTGACACTGTTATTTTCCTGTTTATTACTGTGAAGCTGCTTTGAAACGATCTGTATTGCCTAAAGTGCATATAAATAAAACTGACTTGACTTAATATGCAAACCTCTGTTGTATTTCTGGATGAGTATTTTGTTCCCACACTGAGAATCATCTAAAACAGCTACTAATAATGAGTGTGTGTGTGTGTGTTTGTACTTGTTCATGGTGGGATGTTCATGCTCTATACTGACTGACTCACATATGCTGTACATCTATGTCTGTGTGTGTGTGTTTGTACTCTCCTCACTTGCTGACTCACTATGTGGTTTTATGTGCTGAAGCTCATTAATGACTCTGAACATCTGAGTTTATTATTCTTATGGAATGTGAGCTTCATTTCCAATAAATACAACAGCGAGAGAGAGAGTGTGTGTGTGTGTGTGTGTGAGAACTCTCCTGTATGAGACTAAAGGGCTGGAGTCACTTGTTATTGCTCAGAAATTGCTATTTTATATCTCAGGGGACTCAGTTATGTTTTATGCATGTATTCACTTGTTTCAGATGTTTCTGACCCAACTGTCACGGCAAAATATGATGCTGTTCCTTAGAATTTTGGTCTTGTTTTCCAGTACAAATATCTAAACATTCTTAAAGGGATAGTTCACCCAAAAATGAAAATTCTCTCATTAATTACTGACCCTCGTGTCGTTCCAAACCCGTAAGACCTTCGTTCATCTTCGGAACACAAATTAAGATATTTTTGATGAAATCCGAGAGCGTTCTGATCCTCCATCGACAGCAAGGGAACTACTACGTTTATGCGTGTGCATTCCTCTGCTCGTAAACAAGGCGCAGCGCATGCGTCGTGATTCTCTCGTGAACCCGCGTCGACTGACACGGAAGAGAAACATTGTTGATAATAAGTTGTTATTTTTGTTTTCTTTGTGCACAAACAGTATTCTCGTAGCTTCATAACATTACGGTTGAACCGCTGATGTCACATGGACTATTTTAACGATGTCCTAACAACCGTTCTGGGCCTTGAACGTGTCAGTTCCCATGCAGGGCCAGAAAGATCTCGGATTTCATCAAAAATATCTTAATTTGTGTTCTGAAGATGGACGAAGGTCTTACGGGTTTGGAACGACATGAGGGTGAGTAATTCATGACAGAATTTTCATTTTTGGGTGAACTATCCCTTTAAATCAAGATGCATTTACTGGAGATGCAAAATGACTTTAGAAATGTTGTTTTTTATCAAAATTATTAAAAATAACAAAATGATGACATATCTTTGCATGCATTTGTGCTCCACTGAATTTTTTTATGTCCATTTATATATATATCCATATGTAGTGGGTTCTCTTCTGCGTTGTGTTTTGTTATTCAAGTTAGTTACTAATTATTTTATAATCTAGTGTAACAACATACACTCGTTACACATATTTCTGTATTTATTTATTTTAATTAATTAATTAATTTATTATTGCAGGCATGAACATATATTTGAGATGCAAAATGCTTGGTTTTTATCAAAATTATCAAAAACATCTTTTATACAATACTTGATTTGGATTGATTAGAATATGCATGCATTTGTGCTCCTCTGAAAAAATATTTTACGTCCATTTATTTATTTATTCATTTATTTATGCATGCATGCATAAACATTTACTTGAAAAGCGAAATATTTTTGCATTCTAAAATGAGTTTTGTGTTCTAAAAAATATAAAAACCAAGAGTTTTTATGCCTGAAACAAGAACAAATGTGGTCAAAAAATACACTTGTTTTCTTTTTGAATTAAACTTAAACTCACTCCATTTTGATCAGTTTCTCAGAAAACAATGTTTAGATATTTGCACTGGAAAACAAGAGAAAATACTGAGTAAGAAACAACTTTACGCAGTGAAATGAGTCAACAGCTGTCATGAGAAAATGAAATGTTTGAGATCTTTGACTTGCGATTACAGACATTGTCGAGATTTCTTCTGAAACTAGAGGAGACATATGTGAGATAACCGGAGTCTCAACAAAAGAAGCTAAAAGTATTTAATTTCTTATAGATATACGCTTCATTAATTTCTCATTTTTTGTGAAAGCATGTTATATGTCACAACTGACACATTGTTTGTATTCAGTCAAAACAGTAGAGTCAGCTGTGTTGTCATTAATAACTAATCTCTCGCTTATGCTCATATTTCGCCAGCGATTCTCTGGAATAAGTCAAACTGATGGAAAATTGACTGCCGATTCCACAGATGCTCTTCAAAGCAGTGTCCCAACAGAAGACAAAGAGCGAGCGGATATATTGTGTGAGTGTCCTGAAATGACCTCGTAGGGCTCGTGTTATTGTTCAAACCCATCCCAGATCTCGGATCAGATTTCCCGAATCTCTGCCAACAGAAACAACCCCTCGTTCCCTCGCGCTCTCGCTCTTCACTGACGCATCACATCCACACTACAGACATGACTGACACCTAAAACACTTCCAAGCGCACTGACATGCTCTCACGATGTTTTCCCAACACTTCCAAAGAGAAACCTCACAAACGAATCGACACGACTGTAACGGTGTGATTTGGTTGAGTTCAGGCTTTCATACGGAGCTCATTATGACCAGGTTAAAGTCTATTCAGGTCTGACGGACTAATGATTAAAGACGGCTGGATGAGAGCCAGATCATGAACACACAGACTGAAGGATTTAGTTCCACTCGAACCAAAGGCCAGTAAAGATGCAGCTCACACATAAACATGGAGTAAAACTTTCTTTGGAGAAAAAGTTCACATGCATACTAATACTTTATGAGAATTTTAACCAATCAAAACACACATTATGACAAATCTCTCTGTAATACTTTATTTTTATTGGTCAGAATATTGCTATATAATATAATCACATAATATAATTTAAACTCAAACAAATGTATTTATTCATATAAACTCAAACCAATTATTTAGTTATGCATATAATTTAGACCTATTTATTTATGCTTACATTTCATTGTTCAGAATATTGATACTTGCACAATGTCATTTAAACTCAAATCAGTATTTATTTATTTATGCATACTTTTCATTGGACATAATATTGCTACTTGCATAATTTAAAATCAAACCATAATTGATTGATTGATTAAATAATTAATTAGTTTATTAATTAATTGGACAGAATATATATACTCAAATCATTTAAACACAAAACAATTTATCTATTTATATAAACGCAAACAAAATCATTTATTTATTTTAGTAATTTATTTAATTATGCATATAATTTAGACTCAAACCAATTTATTTATTCATGCATTTTCATTAGTCAGAATTTTTCTAAACACATAATGTAATTTAAACAAGCTTTTTTATTTTTATTTATGCACACTTTTTATTAGTCAGAATTTTGCAATTCACAATATAATTTAAACTCAAAGCAATATATTGATTTATCTATTAATGCATACTTTTCCTTGATCAGAACATTGCTATATAATCACAGACTTATTTATTTATTTTTTATTCATTATTTTTTTAATCTGTGCATTTGTGTTCTACTGAAAAAAAAATGATGCAAGTACATTTTTTTTACAATTTTTATTTTGAGCTATTTACGTTTTCACATTAGGACTAAGAGTGTAAATTTCAAAACACAAGCACGAATGTTTATTGTATCAGTTCTCAGATTCAAACCTACGAGCAACATTTTAACTTCCATAAAGCTCTGCTCTCGTGTGTTGAGATGTTTTTGTTGGGTGAGTCTCACACTAACAGTCCCACCCTGATGTGTGTGATGTGCGTGCTATTCTCCTCACCACAGACACACACACACACACACTCTCTTGCTCTCTCTCGCTGTCTCTCTCTCTCTCTCTCAGACAGACACACACACACACACACTCTCTTGCTCTCTCTCGCTGTCTCTCTCTCTCTCTCTCAGACAGACACACACACACACACACTCTCTTGCTCTCTCTCGCTGTCTCTCTCTCTCTCTCTCAGACAGACACACACACACACACACTCTCTTGCTCTCTCTCGCTGTCTCTCTCTCTCTCTCTCAGACAGACACACACACACACACACTCTCTTGCTCTCTCTCGCTGTCTCTCTCTCTCTCTCTCAGACAGACACACACACACACACACTCTCTTGCTCTCTCTCGCTGTCTCTCTCTCTCTCTCTCAGACAGACACACACACACACACACTCTCTTGCTCTCTCTCGCTGTCTCTCTCTCTCTCTCTCAGACAGACACACACACACACACACTCTCTTGCTCTCTCTCGCTGTCTCTCTCTCTCTCTCTCAGACAGACACACACACACACACACTCTCTTGCTCTCTCTCGCTGTCTCTCTCTCTCTCTCTCAGACAGACACACACACACACACACTCTCTTGCTCTCTCTCGCTGTCTCTCTCTCTCTCTCTCAGACAGACACACACACACACACACTCTCTTGCTCTCTCTCGCTGTCTCTCTCTCTCTCTCTCAGACAGACACACACACACACACACTCTCTTGCTCTCTCTCGCTGTCTCTCTCTCTCTCTCTCAGACAGACACACACACACACACACTCTCTTGCTCTCTCTCGCTGTCTCTCTCTCTCTCTCTCAGACAGACACACACACACACACACTCTCTTGCTCTCTCTCGCTGTCTCTCTCTCTCTCTCTCAGACAGACACACACACACACACACTCTCTTGCTCTCTCTCGCTGTCTCTCTCTCTCTCTCTCAGACAGACACACACACACACACACTCTCTTGCTCTCTCTCGCTGTCTCTCTCTCTCTCTCTCAGACAGACACACACACACACACACTCTCTTGCTCTCTCTCGCTGTCTCTCTCTCTCTCTCTCAGACAGACACACACACACACACACTCTCTTGCTCTCTCTCGCTGTCTCTCTCTCTCTCTCTCAGACAGACACACACACACACACACTCTCTTGCTCTCTCTCGCTGTCTCTCTCTCTCTCTCTCAGACAGACACACACACACACACACTCTCTTGCTCTCTCTCGCTGTCTCTCTCTCTCTCTCTCAGACAGACACACACACACACACACTCTCTTGCTCTCTCTCGCTGTCTCTCTCTCTCTCTCTCAGACAGACACACACACACACACACTCTCTTGCTCTCTCTCGCTGTCTCTCTCTCTCTCTCTCAGACAGACACACACACACACACACTCTCTTGCTCTCTCTCGCTGTCTCTCTCTCTCTCTCTCAGACAGACACACACACACACACACTCTCTTGCTCTCTCTCGCTGTCTCTCTCTCTCTCTCTCAGACAGACACACACACACACACACTCTCTTGCTCTCTCTCGCTGTCTCTCTCTCTCTCTCTCAGACAGACACACACACACACACACTCTCTTGCTCTCTCTCGCTGTCTCTCTCTCTCTCTCTCAGACAGACACACACACACACACACTCTCTTGCTCTCTCTCGCTGTCTCTCTCTCTCTCTCTCAGACAGACACACACACACACACACTCTCTTGCTCTCTCTCGCTGTCTCTCTCTCTCTCTCTCAGACAGACACACACACACACACACTCTCTTGCTCTCTCTCGCTGTCTCTCTCTCTCTCTCTCAGACAGACACACACACACACACACTCTCTTGCTCTCTCTCGCTGTCTCTCTCTCTCTCTCTCAGACAGACACACACACACACACACTCTCTTGCTCTCTCTCGCTGTCTCTCTCTCTCTCTCTCAGACAGACACACACACACACACACTCTCTTGCTCTCTCTCGCTGTCTCTCTCTCTCTCTCTCAGACAGACACACACACACACACACTCTCTTGCTCTCTCTCGCTGTCTCTCTCTCTCTCTCTCAGACAGACACACACACACACACACTCTCTTGCTCTCTCTCGCTGTCTCTCTCTCTCTCTCTCAGACAGACACACACACACACACACTCTCTTGCTCTCTCTCGCTGTCTCTCTCTCTCTCTCTCAGACAGACACACACACACACACACTCTCTTGCTCTCTCTCGCTGTCTCTCTCTCTCTCTCTCAGACAGACACACACACACACACACTCTCTTGCTCTCTCTCGCTGTCTCTCTCTCTCTCTCTCAGACAGACACACACACACACACACTCTCTTGCTCTCTCTCGCTGTCTCTCTCTCTCTCTCTCAGACAGACACACACACACACACACTCTCTTGCTCTCT